TATTCACATTCTTTTTGTTTCTTGGCTTGTTGTTTTGCTTTGCCTTTATTTTCTTGGCTTTTTGCTTTTTTTCTTTTTGGTTTAGTTGTTTTACTTTTTGTTTGGTGGTTTATTTTTTCTGTTTTTGTTTGTCTGTGAGGGTAAACATGGTTTGTAGTTGTTTCATTTTGTTCCTGTTTTTGTTTTTTTCATTCTTTCCTTTCCTCCTATCTTCTTTACCAGTTTCCTAAAGCTTGGGTAATCCTCCTCTGTCCTTCAGCCTTGCTTCTAATGTCTTTTTCTTGTATAATATCACTACTTTTTCCCTCTTCTCTTTTCCTCCCCTCCGGTTGCTCTATTGAGTGATCATTTACTGTATATAATTTTCTAACTTGTCTTAGATTTTCTTATATAATTATGATTCTTGTACATATGGATAAAAGTGGCAAATTATTAGTTATCACAGTTTCTCATTTTCAAGTCTGTGTTTGATGCTGCTGACTGTAGTTTTTTGGACAAGGTGATGCAGTTACTGTAATCAGTTTGTATTCCTTGTATGCCAATACCTAGATTGTCTGGGAGACTGAAACAGTACTATAGTCAAGTACCAAAAAACTGGATGCTAGGTCAAATGGGCAGTAACCTCTCATCCCCAATAAACAGAAGAGGCAGGTTCCCGGGACAGACTCAAAGGCCAAAGCCAGCTCCCTCTAGAAGACATATCTGAAGAGTAGTCATTTCCTAAAGCTGTCTCAATGCTAAGAAAGCTACATACCATAAGCAATTTACAAGCAGCAATGCAGAAAACAAAAAGTACAAAATCAGAAAATATGGAAGCAATATTTAACTCCAGGCCTCCAGCTCGCCAAAGACAAATCCAGGGTCGATTGAGCTGGAACAACTCAAAAGCCAACCAGTTCAACTTTCTCAGCTGGAATCAGCAGAAGTAAAAAACCAGATGAATGAGTCTCTAGGGGGAAAAAAATCAGAAATAATTACACAGGTAATTAAAGAGATGATGACCATAATGAAGGAAATGGTTAGTGAATCTAGAGTAGATACAGATTTTTAAAATATAGAGGAGGGTTGGGGATTTAGCTCCGTGATGTCGCCGCCTGCCTTGCAAGGGTAAGGTCTTGAGTTCAATCACCGGTACAAAAAAAAAAAAACAAAAAAAATGTATACACACACACACACACACACACACACACACACACACACGGAGAGAAGCTTAGGAAAAAGACTGGAAACTGTGAATGCCCAACATAGGAAAGAACTGGATTCTACAAAACAGATTCAAACATATCCAGGAAAGTAAAAACTCTATTGAAAGTATACTCAGCACCCTTTCGCCTGGCTGGCAGCGCGGACGCGGCAGGATGCCTGCAGTTACTGTGAAAGACAAGAGCAGGAGTTCGTCAGAGCTCTGACAGCCTGCCTCAAAAGGGTGGGATGTAGCTCAGTGGTTCTGGTACCTGCCTCGCAAGTGCAAGGACCCGAGTTCAATCCCTAGTACCCACAATCAAACTGGTTCTACACAGAAGCTGCTTCCACAGCACAGCGCCCGTACCACCTGTGCCTCCCGTGCCCTCACGGTCCGTGAGACATCCCCTAGCCACGCACCCTGCTCAGAGCGCCGGGAGCCGCCGGGCCTTCCGAGCACCTTGGGCACCCATTGGTCGGGTGTGTCACGTGCAGAAGAAGGTATTGCGATTGGCGGGCGGGCTTCTGTCCTCTGCTACAGCCGCATTCCCGGATGTGTGGCGCTTGTGCGCTCGCGCGGGAGCATCACGGCCCTGCAGACGCCGCTGTCACCGCTGGGCCGG